TGGAGAAGCGCTGCCCGCTGCAGAGGGACGGCGTGTACCGCTGGTTCTCGGAGCTGCCGTCGCCGCAGCGCGTGGAGTTCCTGTGCGGCCTGCTGGACCTGTGCATCCCGCTCGAGCTGCGCTTCCTCGGCTCGTGCCTCGAGGACCTGGCCCGCAAGGACTACCACTCGCTGCGCGACTCGGAGATCAAGGCCAACAACCCAGCCGACCTGGGCAGCCTCACCAACCTGACGGACGAGGTGGTGCGCAGCAAGCTGCTCGTGTCGCTGGCGCTGCTGGGCTCGGAGCAGCGCGAGGCGGCGGGCGTGCTCTACCGCACGCTCACGCACATCGACTCCATCATCCACAACTACGGGCTGCAGCTCAACGAGGGCCGCACGGGCGATGAGTTCCTGCTGCTCTTCACCATGGCCTCCAACCACCCGGCCTTCAGCTTCCACCAGAAGCAGGTGCTGCGCCAGGAGCTCACGCAGATCCAGAGCAGCCTGAGCGGCGGCGGGGGCCCGGGGGGCAAGAGCGCGCTGCCCACCTGCCCGGCCTGCCACAAGGTGCGTGCCCGCGCCCCAAGCTTTCTCTCCGGGCCCCACCCCGACCGGCGCCCCCAGACTCTACCCGTACCCCAAGCTTTCAATCCAGGCCTGAAGCCCGGATCTGTGCCCCAGGCCCCTACTCGCACCCCAGGCTTTCACTCCAGGCCCCAAGCCCTGACCGCATCCCAAGCCTCCACCCTAAAGCCTTACCTCAACCCCAGCGTTCACACCTTCCACCCCAAGCCCCCAGTGGCACCCCAAGCCACCGCAAACCCCTACCCCTACCCGCACCCGAAGCTTCCATCCTGCGCAGCCAGGTATCTCCTCATCACCTCGATCTCCCACTGCAGGCCCCCACTCGCACCCCAACCCTCCATTCCGCAGTTCACCCTGCACCTCAAACCCCACCCTCACCTCAGCCCCCTGTCCCCACCTCACACCCCCAAACACGCACCCCAAAACCTCGCCCAGCTTCCCCGTGCCCCTTCGGGGGCGTCACAACCGCCTAGGTCGGACCCAGGGGTGGGGGCTCCGCGGTTGGGGAAAGAACACCCCGGGCAGAGTTCGCGGCCCGTCCGAGCCTTTGGTACAGTTCTTCCGCTGAAAGCACGATAAGGCCTTTGTCCCCTTAATCTGGCTCTTGGGCGACAGATAACCGTTACACATTGTGTCGCCTTGGTTTCTCCAAATCTGGTGTTTATTATCAGGAAAGGAAGCCGCTGGTGAGATGGAGATTAGAAGGCGCTGGAGCCTTAGGAGACCCGCGCGGTGCGGTGCTGGGGCCCCCAGGGCCTGTGTGTCCATTTGCGCGGAATGAGGCAGGTGTCCCCTGGAGGAGCTTAGGGTCGGGGTGAGCCGCAGGCCGCTGTGTGCCCGTGTATCACTGTGTGTACATGAGTACACGTGTGCATCATGTGTGCGTTGTGTGTATATGTAAGTGTGTACACGTATGTGTAGAGAATGTATGTGTGTATTTTTAAACGTGTGTGTATATCTGTGTTTATACTGTGTGTGTGTGTACGTGTGTGTCTGTGTGTGTAAGAGCAGGCCTACTGTAACAGACAGGAAGACAGGTTTGGAGCGTTCTGTGTATGTGAAACAGTTACTTCTCCGTGACCTGCCTGCCTTTGTAGAAACAAATCCCAGGCTGATTTGGAGTCAGACTAGGATTAAGGCTCTCCTGTCTCCAGATTAAACAGGAAGGGCATAATGGGTATTCACTTAGAAATGTGAACTTTTGTCTGAATGTTTCAAAGCTATGTAAACACAAAGTGTTTTGCGCTCAAACTTATTTTTAACAGTCCCCTGGGACCCAGAAAAGGATTTTTCTTTGACCACGTGTGGTGTGTATACTTGGATTAAAACCGTCTTTCTCTGGGAAGTGAAAGATGGGCAGTCGGACCAGTGGTCTCAGTGCCCTTGACAGTGCCTGAGCTCTCTGAGAGGAAACCTTTGATACTGTCTGGTTTGCGAGTGGCGGTTTTCAGGCTGTCTTTCAGCCGTGGACCTGTGGCTTTTCTCTTTTAATGCCTTCCTGTAAGAGGTGACTGGAGTACCCACAGTGGTTTTAATCTCTGTCATATCTTTCTGGTGACTAACCTCTGAGTCTGTGGTTTTCTTTCTTGTGTGTTCAGATCTCACCCTAAATCTGTGCATTGGGCAGAAAAATGTTCTTGCAGCTACAACCAGGGGAAGACAGGGTCCTATGAAATGTGATTGTCCTTAGGGAGCTCAGGAGGCTTTGAGGTGCCAGTCCCTGGCACCTTCAGTCCCTGGGGCCGGTTGCATGCACTTTCAGTCTTCTGCTAGTGTTACTAACACTGATAATGTCTGTGGCTGTGACGCTGGTTGTGTTCAGCCCTTGAAGGGGATTCTTTTGTGTATGCAGATGCATCACTTTGTAAAAGCAGAAGATGGCAATTATTTTGGCAGGGCAGTGAGCTAAAGCTAGAACAAAAATATCTTTTATGAGAGAGCCTTTTTGTGAAGCCAGAAGTCCCTTTGATGAGATGCAGGGGCTTAATCTGCCCCACCCCTGCTGGTATGCGCACAGAATTGACCAGCTTTGTGACCTTGGCCAGAATCCTCTCCTCGCGGGGCTTCCCTTTTGGAGTAGAAGGTAGGTTACCTGCCTCACAGGCGTGTGTGAAGGGTAACATGAGGTCACGTGTGAAGTGCCCGCAGACGTGAAGTGAGTACTTCCTGCTCCGCCCTGTTCTCTCTGGTTTTTTATGGAGCAGCCCTGACTTAAGCAAGGCACATTGTTATGGAGTGAAATACTTACTTCTCAGAGTGGTGATATTTTCTAAGTAGATTTTTGAATACATAGTTACTTGGAGCTGACAATTTTTTTTGTTCATCTGTAGGAAATTGGAGAATTCTGCTTGATCTTTAATAATGAGATTATAGTGAGTAACCCTTGCTTCTATATTTCAAAAACAGTCATGATGTCTAGTTTTACTTAGAACATCCCCCGTGTCACTGCTAAGGTAACTTCACTCACATTTATTTAATTTTCTGTTCCTTTACCGTTTTCATGTTAAGGCCTGACACTGATACATCCTTTGCTGCTTGATGTCGGCAACTTTTTAGTATCTCTTTAGATCTGACGTTTAGCGTGATCCTGGAAAAGTCCTGGTAAAGCTCTGTTTGCATTTCTTCTGTAAGATGCTATGTTTTGTTTTGAACTCTTTGAGCTGAGACTTTGTGTTTATCTTTTAGAGATAAGGATGTTGATTGTTTCATGTTTTTCATTCTATTTAAAGAGATACTTCTTTTAACTAAATTTTCTGGTACAGTCATTATTTGCAATTGTTTCACTGTGTTATTTTAAAATGCTTATTGGTCAGAGGACTTGGAAAAGAGGTTTAAAAGTGTGAGGAATATAAAGTAGACATTTTTACTTTTAGAAAGGAAAAGTGTTCATAGCAGTAAAACTGATGGTGTTCATGGCGGTAAAGCGCGGTAGCTTTCCTGCGCTTGGCAGCCAGCAGGTACTGTGTGTGTGCAGTACGAACTAGTCATGATGGTTGGTTTGGACTTACACTACTTCTTTCTTTCCATTTTGTTTAAATATAAAGCCATAGTTTTGGGAAAAGTTTAAATTTATCCTTGGTAGTCTTTTATCTGTGTAAGTGATAAAGTGCTGTGGTATATACTTGCTTTTTTAAGTAGCTGCTTCATTGAGATTTGATTCATATTGTAAAATTCGCCCCTCCAAAGTGTATAATTCAGTGGTTTTCGGTGCATTCACAGAGTTGTGAACCCCCTCACCGCTGTCTCGTTCCAGAACATTGTCATCAGCCCCTGAAAGGAACTGTCACTTCCATTCCCCCTCACCCAACCCTGACAGGCACTGGTCTGCTTTCTGTCAGTGGGTTTGCCCGTTGGGGACATTTCATGTAAATGGGATCACACACTCCCTGGCCTTTGGTGTTGGCTGCTCCACTCAGTGCATTGTTCTCAAGTCTCGCTCCTGTTGGAGCTGCGTCGGCCCTTCACACCTTTTAGGTTGAGTAATATTCCGTTATGTGGCTGTACCCCATTCTGTTTGTCCATCCATCAGTTGATGGACATTTGGGTTGTTTGAGGTGCTTCTTTCTAGGCTTCTTTCCTTCGTGGCTAGGAGGCTGCTGTTTTATACCCAACATTTACCCAGTCATCTTTGGAGTGTCGCAACGCACAGCTGTCCTGCGGGACCCGGTTCTCACGGTCAGAGTGCACCTGGCGGATTGCTGGGCACCATGGCAGTGCCCTGCAGGTCGTTCCCTGGCCTCCCAGAGGAACTACAGAGGAGACAGTGGGGGCTTACAGTGCAGCCCCTCCTACCTTGGTGTTTCAGAACCCACATGATAGGGGTCATGAGGGTGGTTTTTAAGGGAGTGCTGAAACCGTGTTTTTAAAATGCTAGAGCAGGAGTTTGGTGGAGAGCGGTCTTCCTTTGGGTGCGTGTCCCCTGGCAGGGTCTGGAAGGAACTCCATCGGGGATGCTCCAGGTAAGCACTGGAGGAACTTGGGGTGCAGGCAGATGCTCATAATCTCTTGCCTGAGGCAAGGAACAGCTTGCTTCATCTCCTCGTTTTTGTAAGCTGTTGGAAATCATTGCAGTTCAGAGTTGAGAGTTGGGAAGTTTGTCAGGTGAGGTATAAATGGCTTCTTCTGGTTTCTTCTTTAACTGTAACTTGGCCTGTCGCAGCCGAAAGTCCAGCATTCCGTCAGAAGGGACTTGGGAGCAGCTGTTGTTCCCGCTCACGGGCAAAGGAGGAGCCTCACGGCCCCGCTGTTAGCACTTGCTCGGCAGCTGAGGCCTGACCGCCGGCCTCTGAGCAAGCCTGGCTTCCTTCATTACGCTGCTGCGGAGGCTATCCTGAAACAGATTGGATTTTTTTTCCTTTGCCAGCTTTTATAGGCCCCAAAGACTCCTCTTTTTATAGTGAGGTTCATGATACAGGAATTGAGACATCCTGGGGTGCAGCTTTAATTGCTTTGCTGTTGCTGGTGTGGTCATTGAAAATGGAAGCCCAGTCACATCCTCTTGGAGTCGCAGTACTGCTGGTGTTCTGTATGACAGCTTGAATTGTGTGGCACTTTAATTACTGTCCTTTGCCCTCAGGTTAAATTGAGGCTGTTTTCTTTCCCGTGAGCTAGTTCACGTTTGCTTTATTCAACTCGGACATTTGTGTTCCTATTCCATATTGTGTTCTGGAGTGTGGCTGTAGAAACGGGCAGTTTTATGTCGTACTAGGGTATAATGAGCAATGTGGTTGACTACGGATGGACATTAGATCATGTTGCAGAGACACCAGCGTTAGCCTCGTTTCTGCAGGTTCTGAAGCTTACCTCTTAGGCTTTAGTTTACCCGTTTTCTCCTCAGTCCTGTGTGCTGTATTTACTTCCTTTTGGATTGAGGACATTTTGGGTTGTCAACAAGTTTTCGTCAGTTTTACAACTCCATAGGAAGCTAGGAGAAGGGACCCATGCTGGTACATTTTGTTTGCTAAATTGGTGACTGCTGACTT